CGTTACGCTCATTGGCCCAGGCCAAGGCCACACAGCTAGTAGGTGGCAGGCCTAACAGGAGTCAGGCGACTCCTGACACAGTGCCCCTTCCACGGCTGAGCCCTTCACTGGCCCAGGTGGAGGGAGGGTGCTCTTGGTTTGCATGGGTCTCTCTAGGGAGCCATGGGTAAAACGGGAAGTTTCCAGGGCACTAACTCCCTCCAGGATTAGGAAGGGGCAGGCCGCCAGCCTTCTGGAAACTGATCTTGGATGGATCTCTCTGTCTGCACCACCACCCCCTCCCCCACAACAGCCCCCCAAGGTCTCCCCTTGTCTGCCCCTCCCCTCTCTACTGGGAGGCGGGACATGGTTTTCCAACCAGGAAACCTGCCGTGTCCACCCACAGGGCTCTCAGCCTGAACTGCGACCCCGGGACCAGTCTTGGGGAGAAGAACTAGGGAAGAGAGTGGCCCATGCCTCTTGTCACTAAAAATCAGTCCCAAGGGCCACATAACCTGTAACCACACTCTTGCGTTTCCTTCCCTCTCCGTGGGTTCCATGTAGCCCCACCCGCCATGGAAAGGAAGGGCACGCCTCGTGTGATGACAGCCGAGATGTCCGCCCCTGGAAGGCGCCCACCTCGGGGCAACACCTGGACATCACCCTGCCGTCCATCCTCAAAGCCCAGTGTGCCTGACTAGCTTGTGACCTTGAGCACACACCTGGCCACTCAGAGCCTCAGTGTCCTTGCCCTGGACGTGGGAACAAGGCCTGTCTCACTGGGCTACTGTGAAGGGGAGGCAATCCACGGAGCCCTCAGCCCAGTGAGGACCAGTCAGCAGTCCATCGTCCTGGGGTCAGTCTGCATCTGCTACCAACAGGCTGGGCGACCTAGGGCAAGTCCCTTAAACTCTCTGTGCCTCCATTTCCACATCTGTAAAATGGGGTAATTATGGTAGTAACCTCGTAACGTTAGCACGCTGAAGGAAATTAAACCCATGAAACAGAGACAAGTGCCTGGTGCCTAACAAGCACTTCACACATGTCAGGTGAGACTGGCCCCACTGTCACTTCACACATGTCAGGTGAGTCTGGCCCTGCCACTGCTGCCAGCACTATTGTCCCTCCAGAACCTTGGCACTCGGTACACATCCTCAGAACAGATTCTACTGACAACCCTCACTCCGTTAGCAGCCCTCAGGTGCTGTGTCACCTGAGACAGGTGACATGGCTTCCCTGAACTCCGGCTGTGAGCAGCACGTTGCTGCTGTTCAGGTTCAGAAAGGTCTTGTCTGAGAGACATCTGGCTCTAGCAGGGCGGAGTAGAAGGCCCTGCCAGAGGCCTCTGCATCCTGGGGGACTGTGGCCTTGGGCACAGCTGAGTGACCTTGGGCACGTCCTATCAACTCTCTGAGCCTCGGTTTCCTCATCTGTGACCTTAGAAATCTTCGAGTCCAACCCTGGTCCCTGCTGGATTTCCTGCCTCTGGGGTATCCCTGCCGGATGCCCTCTCTGTTTGAACACGCCCAGAGACGGGAGGCTCATTACCTTTCGGAGTTGCCCACACTGCTCCGGGGCAACCCCATGAGCTGGCCAGGACTTCCTACCTGCCTGAAACACTCCCTCATATCAGTCGACTGTGTGCCCGACAGCCCTGCAATGGAACAGACTGAGGGAGAAGAGGGTCAGACGGAAGGAGGGGATCACCTGACAGAGGTGCTGCCTCAGACACGGCGTTCTTGGCACAGGCCGCCACCACTCTTCGGGTGAGGTGGGAGAGGAAGGTGGGGACAGCAGAGCCAGGCCGTGCTAACTGGGCAAGTGTGACACGAGACAGGGAACGGGAACGCAGAGACTGAGACCTCAGGCAGCCCTGCTCCACGAAGAAGCCTTTTCTGGACCATCAGTGTCCCGAATGGCCCTGCCACGGCCCAGGTGCACAGGTGTGACCAGCTGATCTTCCTTTCCTGACCTGAAACACCTATGCCAGCCTTGCCCCTGCCTCCCTCCCCAACACAGACAATGCAGCTGGGGGATCAAATCCACTGGAGGGCTGAGTAAGCCTCTCAAAGGACCCACCAGGGCACAAAGGAATCTTCTAGAAGGGAAGGACCCACAGGAATATCTCCCCATTGCCACAGCCAGCCGTCACCAACATGCCGGAATAAACGAATAAGACTGAGTCAGAACCTCCTCACCAGGGACCAAATGACACAATAAATGCAAAAGCAGTTCGGGGAACAGAATGTGCTTATGCGTGGCCGGTAGCAGGGTGGTTTTTAAGCTGCAGCAAGGTGATGAGAATGGAGGCTGGTTTATTATTTTAGGTTTGAGTTTTACAATACAATCACCTAAACGTTTAAGCGTCGTATGTACCTTTTAAATTATTAACNGTTGTCACCGCCCTCTTACAGATGGGGAAGCCGGAACTTGCCAAGGAGTGGCAGGGCTGAGACTCAAACCCAGGGTCACCTGCTGTATCACTGTTAGCCATCTCCTGTGACGCTGCGGCTGTGTGTGCATGCTTATGCGTGTGTTTATTGTGTGTGCACGTGGGTGTGCGTGTGCACACGTGGGTGTGCATGTATGTGTGTGCGCGCTTATTGTGTGTACACCTGTGCATGTGTGTGCACACGTGAGTCTGCACTGTGCATGTGTTGTGTGTGTGTGTATGTGTGTGTGCATGTGTGCGCGGGTCTTGCACACCCATGAGAGGAGCCTGAGGGCCTGTGAGGGAGGCTGTCTCCTGGCTGGGCTGTTTCCTGGGAAGGGATGGCCTGGGTTGAGAGGCTAAAAGCTCCAGAGGAAGTCAGCCTGTACCTAAGGGCAAGGTGGGCAGAGAGAGAGACTGGGACCTGGGACCAGAGGAAGACCTCCCATGGTCAGCCGGAGGTGCAGTTTCTCTAAGGAGTCTTCACACTCCCAGGTTTAGACTCGTCTCTCCCATCCTGATGCTCCCGGCATTCTTCAGCTCGGGCACCATGACAAAGTGCCACAGACCAGAAGCCTTAAACAACAGAAACTTATGTTCTCACAGTTCTGGAGGCTGGAAGTCCGAGACCAAGGTGGGGGTAGGCTGGTTCCTCCTGAGGCCTCTCTCCCTGGCGTGTGGATGGCCGTCTGCTCCGTGTCCTCCGTGGTTGTCCCTCTGTGCGTGTCTGTGTCCTGATCTCCTCTTCTTATCAGGACCCCAGTCAGGTTGGACCAGAACCCACACATGTGACCTCATTTTATGTTAATCACCTCTTTAAAGACCTTGTCTCCAAATACAGCCACGTTCTGTGGTGCTGGGGTTCGGACTTCAACATTTGAAACTGTGGGGCGGGGTGCGGGGAGGGACACAATTCAGCTCAGCCCATGACACCTGTGCAGTAATTTTCAGAAACTAGCTTGGGCTTCAAAGTCACACAGACCAGGGTTCTAAATTGGATTTGGTCACTTTCCAGCTGTGACTAAGTCGTTTCACTGCTCAGAGCCCCAGTTCCGTCCTCTGAACAATGAGAATCACCATGAGTTTCCAATGAGATGCCCTCAGGTTTTCTGCCACCGACAGTACCTAGTGCACAGATGCGCTCAATAAATACCGCCGCTGCCATGGGCGTCATCGCAGCTCCCAGTGACTGAGGCTGCCGTGAGCTAGTCCCGTGCGGGGAGCTCTGCAGACTTTCTCTCCAATCCTCCCCCAGCCATGGGAGCGAGGCGGGCACCCGTATTAGCTGTGCATTACCTGTAGGAAACGCAGGCTCACCAAGGTGAAGTGCCTGCTCAAGGTCACACAGCAGGGAGCTGGGGCTGCGGGTTGGTGTTTCAGGTGTGTCTGTGTCTCCCCTCTGGCCTGTGAGCTCTGGGGGTGCAGAAACAGGGGCTCAGTCATTTGGCCCCCNTTTCAATCTGTGAGGGCCACCACTGTACCGTCTCTCATTTCCCAAAGAACAAGTTTCCAGAAGATCAATGTCCTAACTTGTTCCTCAGCCACCCGCAGAGGCTCCCAGGCCTGGCGGGGACCCGCCCTGTTGGGCAGCTGTTCCTCCCCAAGAACCATCTGGAGCAAGGTTCCCTCCCCCAAGTGAGTGCTTCCAGCAACCCATGTCCCGAGGGCCAGCCAGGCCCCACCCTCCACGTGGTGCCAGGGGCTGGCGAGGACACAGGCTGAACACAGGGGCTCTGGACCCTGGCCCTGCCCCGTACAGCTGTGACCCCTCTGTGCCTCAGCTTGCCCTTCTGCTAAATGGGTGACCCCAACAGTACTGACCCGGCGGGGAGGGGGCTGAGGTGCACGAGCATGGGGCAGACGTGTGTGCGGCAGGCGGTAAGTGCGCCAAGGTGCCCCTGCCACTGTCCACTTCCTTCCCGGAACTCTTAGGTCGCGAGTTTCATGTTTGGGAAGTGATTTTTCATATGCTTATGACCTTTATCTAAAAGAAAGTTTAAGGGTGGGGTTTCCCTGTTATTAAAACTAAGTAATACATGATCGATTTGGGAAGATCAAGACACGAAGAACTTTTTAAAGCCACACCATGGTCTGGCACGGCTGGGGTAGATGATGTCTCATCCTGTCCTGGTCACTCCCCAGGTCACCTCTGCAGCTCAGGGCCCCTCCTGGGGTCCAACAGCAGGTCACCCGCCCCCGGGGCCACTCACCTTAAACCTCTCGGACATGCTCTCGGTGACGCTGATGGTGAACTCGGCTATCTTGGAGACGCGCCCTTTGCCTCTCTTGCGGTCAGGTTCGTATTCAGTCTTCGTCTTCACAACCACCTTGTCCAGGAAACAGAAGCACAGGTTTGACCAGTGGTGCAGCCAGGTGCCCTCACATACATCTGCCCAGAGAGGAGGCGCATGGGAACTCTCATGTTCAAAGTCACCGTTTCGCCAGGAAGTATTTCACAAANAGGTTGGTTAACACGTCCATCACCTCACTTACTTTCATTACTGTGTGTGCCTGTGGTGAGAAATTTAAGATCTACGCAATCTATTATACATCTGTGGCTTTGCCCATTCTGCACACATCCTCCTTAGTGATGGTTTTAAGTTTCTCAATTCGAGTCCATCGGTACGCTGACGCAGACGAGGGAGAGAAATGGGGCTTCCGGGTCTCTATATGTGGGGAGAATCAGCCCCCCCTGGCAGAGTCCTCCCACCTCTGCTTGAACGCTGCACTCCAGCCACACCGACCTCCCCATCCCCAAAGCACCGGCACCCAGGGCTGGGCCAATGCCCTTTCCTCTGCCTGGAATGCACCCCTATCCCTTTGTTCATTTGGCAAACTCACACTCATCCTTCAAAGCCCAGATCCAACGTCACCTCCTCTTTGAAGCCTGCCCTGGCGTTCTTTATGCTTCTCTACCCGAGTTCGGGTAGTTGCACCTTTTTCTAGATCATGAGCACATCCCAGCAGAACAGCTTCAACTTTCATTTCTCTCCCTCGTGCCTCGAACAGGCTGGGCGGGGCTACAGCAGGGACTCGGGAAGAGGGCGGGGCAGGCGTCCGCTCGTTTCACATTCACAGTGAACTGTCAGCTCTGTAGCCAAGACAAATGCAAGTGTGTAGTAAGAAAAGTCAGGGTGTAATTCACGCTGAAGGTTGCCCCTGACCTCACGGCGACATTCTCCATTTTAGATTAAATCCTGCTGCAAATGCTCCTTTCTGGAAAACTCCACAACTTATTTAAAAATAATGTAGAGACAAAATCATAGGGCGGTTTCTAGTGCTCTTCAGAATTTTTTTTACTTCTAAGTCCCCCGGCACTTGGCGCATATCAGGTACTGAGTACATGGCTAAGAAATGAATGAACGATAGTTTTGTTTCTTTGTTTGTACCTGTAGACACTGAGTACACAGGATGATGGGGCCCCAGGCCATTGGTGACCTGTTAGGCATT